TAAAACCAGATACTACAGGATGGGTAACTAAAACCAGATACTACAGGATGGGTAACTAAAACCAGATACTACAGGATGGGTAACTAAAACCAGATACTACAGGACGGGTAACTAAAACCAGATACTACAGGATGGGTAACTAAAACCAGATACTACAGGATGGGTAACTAAAACCAGATACTACAGGATGGGTAACTAAAACCAGATACTACAGGATGGGTAACTAAAACCAGATACTACAGGATGGATACTACAGGATGGGTAACTAAAACCAGATACTACAGGATGGGTAACTAAAACCAGACACTACAGGATGGGTAACTAAAACCAGACACTACAGGACGGGTAACTAAAACCAGATACTACAGGATGGGTAACTAAAACCAGATACTACAGGATGGGTAACTAAAACCAGATACTACAGGACGGGTAACTAAAACCAGATACTACAGGATGGGTAACTAAAACCAGATACTACAGGACGGGTAACTAAAACCAGACACTACAGGACGGGTAACTAAAACCAGATACTACAGGACGGATACTACAGGACGGGTAACTAAAACCAGATACTACAGGACGGATACTACAGGACGGGTAACTAAAACCAGATACTACAGGATGGGTAACTAAAACCAGATACTACAGAACGGGTAACTAAAACCAGATACTACAGGACGGGTAACTAAAACCAGACACTACAGGATGGGTAACTAAAACCAGATACTACAGGATGGGTAACTAAAACCAGATACTACAGGATGGGTAACTAAAACCAGATACTACAGGATGGGTAACTAAAACCAGACACTACAGGATGGGTAACTAAAACCAGATACTACAGGACAGGTAACTAAAACCAGATACTACAGGATGGGTAACTAAAACCAGATACTACAGGACGGATACTACAGGACGGGTAACTAAAACCAGATACTACAGGACGGGTAACTAAAACCAGATACTACAGGATGGGTAACTAAAACCAGACACTACAGGACGGGTAACTAAAACCAGATACTACAGGATGGATACTACAGGATGGGTAACTAAAACCAGATACTACAGGATGGGTAACTAAAACCAGATACTACAGGACGGGTAACTAAAACCAACCAGATACTACAGGATGGGTAACTAAAACCAGACACTACAGGACGGGTAACTAAAACCAGATACTACAGGACGGGTAACTAAAACCAGACACTACAGGATGGGTAACTAAAACCAGATACTACAGGACGGGTAACTAAAACCAGATACTACAGGATGGGTAACTAAAACCAGATACTACAGGATGGGTAACTAAAACCAGACACTACAGGACGGGTAACAAAAACCAGATACTACAGAATGGGTAACTAAAACCAGATACTACAGGACGGATACTACAGGACGGGTAACTAAAACCAGATACTACAGGACGGGTAACTAAAACCAGACACTACAGGATGGGTAACTAAAACCAGATACTACAGGACGGGTAACTAAAACCAGATACTACAGGATGGGTAACTAAAACCAGATACTACAGGATGGGTAACTAAAACCAGATACTACAGGATGGGTAACTAAAACCAGATACTACAGGACGGGTAACTAAAACCAGATACTACAGGACGGGTAACTAAAACCAGATACTACAGGACGGGTAACTAAAACCAGATACTACAGGATGGGTAACTAAAACCAGATACTACAGAATGGGTAACTAAAACCAGATACTACAGAATGGGTAACTAAAACCAGATACTACAGAATGGGTAACTAAAACCAGATACTACAGGACGGATACTACAGGACGGGTAACTAAAACCAGATACTACAGGACGGGTAACTAAAACCAGACACTACAGGACGGGTAACTAAAACCAGATACTACAGGACGGGTAACTAAAACCAGATACTACAGAATGGGTAACTAAAACCAGATACTACAGGATGGGTAACTAAAACCAGATACTACAGGACGGTTAACTAAAACCAGATACTACAGGATGGATACTACAGGATGGGTAACTAAAACCAGATACTACAGGATGGGTAACTAAAACCAGATACTACAGGATGGGTAACTAAAACCAGACACTACAGGATGGGTAACTAAAACCAGATACTACAGGACGGGTAACTAAAACCAGATACTACAGGATGGGTAACTAAAACCAGATACTACAGGATGGGTAACTAAAACCAGACACTACAGGATGGGTAACTAAAACCAGATACTACAGGATGGGTAACTAAAACCAGACACTACAGGATGGGTAACTAAAACCAGATACTACAGGATGGGTAACTAAAACCAGACACTACAGGATGGGTAACTAAAACCAACCAGATACTACAGGACGGGTAACTAAAACCAGATACTACAGGATGGGTAGCTATAACCAGATACTACAGGACGGGTAACTAAAACCAGATACTACAGGATGGGTAACTAAAACCAGATACTACAGGATGGGTAACTAAAACCAGACACTACAGGACGGGTAACTAAAACCAGATACTACAGGACGGGTAACTAAAACCAGATACTACAGGATGGGTAACTAAAACCAGATACTACAGGATGGGTAACTAAAACCAGACACTACAGGATGGGTAACTAAAACCAACCAGATACTACAGGATGGGTAACTAAAACCAGATACTACAGGATGGGTAACTAAAACCAGACACTACAGGATGGGTAACTAAAACCAGACACTACAGGATGGGTAACTAAAACCAGATACTACAGGACGGGTAACTAAAACCAGATACTACAGGATGGGTAACTAAAACCAGACACTACAGGATGGGTAACTAAAACCAGACAGTAAAGTACCAGCCTGTCACCTGAATATAACACTCTGTTGTTGTTAAAGTACCAGCCTGTCACCTGAATATAACACTCTGTTGTTGTTAAAGTACCAGCCTGTCACCTGAATATAACACTCTGTTGTTGTTAAAGTACCAGCCTGTCACCTGAATATAACACTCTGTTGTTGTTAAAGTACCAGCCTGTCACCTGAATATAACACTCTGGTGTTGTTAAAGTACCAGCCTGTCACCTGAATATAACACTCTGTTGTTGTTAAAGTACCAGCCTGTCACCTGAATATAACACTCTGTTGTTGTTAAAGTATCAGCCTGTCACCTGAATATAACACTCTGTTGTTGTTAAAGTACCAGCCTGTCACCTGAATATAACACTCTGTTGTTGTTAAAGTACCAGCCTGTCACCTGAATATAACACTATGTTGCTGTTAAAGTACCAGCCTGTCACCTGAATATAACACTCTGTTGTTGTTAAAGTACCAGCCTGTCACCTGAATATAACACTCTGTTGTTGTTAAAGTATCAGCCTGTCACCTGAATATAACACTCTGTTGTTGTTAAAGTACCAGCCTGTCACCTGAATATAACACTCTGTTGTTGTTAAAGTACCAGCCTGTCACCTGAATATAACACTCTGTTGTTGTTAAAGTACCAGCCTGTCACCTGAATATAACACTCTGTTGTTGTTAAAGTACCAGCCTGTCACCTGAATATAACACTCTGTTGTTGTTAAAGTACCAGCCTGTCACCTGAATATAACACTCTGTTGTTGTTAAAGTACCAGCCTGTCACCTGAATATAACACTCTGTTGTTGTTAAAGTACCAGCCTGTCACCTGAATATAACACTCTGTTGATGTTAAAGGACCAGCCTGTCACCTGAATATAACACTCTGTTGTTGTTAAAGTACCAGCCTGTCACCTGAATATAACACTCTGTTGTTGTTAAAGTACCAGCCTGTCACCTGAATATAACACTCTGTTGTTGTTAAAGTACCAGCCTGTCACCTGAATATAACACTCTGTTGTTGTTAAAGTACCAGCCTGTCACCTGAATATAACACTCTGTTGTTGTTAAAGTACCAGCCTGTCACCTGAATATAACACTCTGTTGTTGTTAAAGTACCAGCCTGTCACCTGAATATAACACTCTGTTGTTGTTAAAGTACCAGCCTGTCACCTGAATATAACACTCTGTTTTTGTTAAAGTACCAGCCTGTCACCTGAATATAACACTCTGTTGTTGTTAAAGTACCAGCCTGTCACCTGAATATAACACTCTGTTGTTGTTAAAGTACCAGCCTGTCACCTGAATATAACACTCTGTTGTTGTTAAAGTACCAGCCTGTCACCTGAATATAACACTCTGTTGCTGTTAAAGTACCAGCCTGTCACCTGAATATACCACTCTGTTGCTGTTAAAGTACCAGCCTGTCACCTGAATATAACACTCTGTTGTTGTTAAAGTTTCAGCCTGAGGCTTTGAAAAACCCAACAACAATAGACCAGACTCCCTCATCAATATTCCCGGTGTGTTTCACGCACAAATAAATCAATTTATTATTCTAACAAGCATATTTCGCTTTGCGACCAGAGCGGGATTCTCTCAACAGAGTCCATTATGCCATTATGTTCACCAACTCCGCTCGGCACCCAACCTTTTAATTGGATTTGAATTAGCTGCCGTTTGCGTGAAAATAACATGTCACACAGGGAGAGAGAGGGAGGGAGAGGATAGAGAGAGAGAGAGAAGGATGGAGAGAGAGACGAAGAGAGAGAGAGATCTGAGAGAGAGGAGGAGAGAGAGAGCGAGATGAGCACGAAGAGATGAGAAGAGGTGAGAGAGAGAGAGAGAGAGAGAGAGAGAGAGAGAGACGAGAGAGAGATGAGAGAGAGAGAAGGAGAGAGAGAGAGACAGAGAAGGAGGAGGAGAGAGGAGAGCGAGAGGAGAGGATGAGGAGAGAGCGAAGGAGAGAAGAGAGGAGAGAGGATGAGAAGGAGGGGAGAGAGCAGAGAGAGAGAAGGATGGAGAGAGAGAGAGAGAGAGAAGGATGGACGAGAGAGAGAGAGAGATGGGGGGGGGGGGGAATTAGCTGCTGTTATGTGGGAGGAAGCCAGTGGGGGAGGAGAGGGGAGGAGAGGGGGAGGGGATTGAAAGAGGAGGAAGAGGCAACATTAACCTTGAAGATGCTGCTGCTGTGTTTCTGCCTCTGTGGCTGGGCTGGAGGCTGGGCTGGAGGCTGGGCTGGAGGCTGGGCTGGAGGCTGGGCTGGAGGCTGGGCTGGAGGCCGGCCAGGTGGGGAATCTCTGTGACTGTATGATCTGTTGGGCCCAACTGACCTGTGATACAACAACAGATTTACACTTAAAGAGTGGGCCTTTTAAAAATATGAAATACAAAATCAGTCCCCAGATGTGAATTTGTTTTATTAACTTCAACTCAGTGGGTTTATCGTGGAACTTTAGAAGACTAATGGGTAGCCCGTTCCCATACAGTCTATATGGGGCGGTAGTAAAAGTATTGCTCAGCTGGCAGATCATGGTGCTTGCAATGCCAGGATTGTGGGTTCGATTCCCGGGGCCACCCATACGTAAAATGTATGCTGCTGGATACAAATGTCTGCTAAATGGCATATATTGTTCTAGTGTTATTATTAAGACAGGGCATCGAGGTGTGTAGTCTTGACCTTAGTTTCTAATGCCCTACCTGTTGGTATGTATTATATTACCTTAGCTTGTCCATAGTGATCTATATTACCTTAGCTTGTCCATAGTGTTCTATATTACCTTAGCTTGTCCATAGTGATCTATATTACCTTAGCTTGTCCATAGTGTTCTATATTACCTTAGCTTGTCCATAGTGATCTATATTACCTTAGCTTGTCCATAGTGTTCTATATTACCCTTAGCTTGTCCATAGTGATCTATATTACCTTAGCTTGTCCATAGTGATCTATGTTACCTTAGCTTGTCCATAGTGATCTATATTACCTTAGCTTGTCCATAGTGTTCTATATTACCTTAGCT